AGATTTCTGAAGAAGATTTCTGAAAAAAATATTTTGAGGTTCCTAAGTAGTCGACATGGGCGTACTGAATTGTGATATCATGAATGAAAAATAATGCGTTAATTTTTACATGTCATTTTACATATCATTTATAAATAAAGACAATTATGATAAAACGAAATTATAAGATCGCTTTAAAATACTTATAAAAATCGATGTTATCTTTATCTCCTCTGTTTCCTCTCTCCTTTCTTCCCGATAGTCAGTAATTAGTCGTAAAAGATAAAAGGTACGTGAAATATGTTTACTCAATACGCATGCGTAGTCATTTCACTTTTACATATCTTTCGCAACTATTTATGAGATATAACTACTTAGGAGCCTTAAAATTTAAATTTCTTCAAATAGTATAATTTCTTTTTTCGAAAATTATAAATGAGAAATCTTAAAATATTTCAAAATTTATATATATAAAGAATTCTAAAAGATATTTTTTGAAAAATGTTCCAATTCGTATAAAAAAATTTAAAAAATTTTCTAAAAAATTATTAAATTAAATAAATTTATACATAAAGTCAATCCTTTTAAAAGTCTTTTCAAAAATCAATGACCTAGATATATGTTGTCAAGGTCATAAGTCTAATCTTCAACAGGTTTTAATAAAAAATAATTTCTTTAGATCATCCAACGGAACAGAATCATCCAACAATATGATATTAATTATGTATGATTCTTAATGATTTAAGTTATAATAGTTATATTTAAGTTATATTTAAGTTATATGAAAGATTATGTATCAATCTTAAAAAATATATAATTACGAAATAATTTATCTTTCAATTTTGTGCAGGAATCTGGCATGAATCGTACACAACGATTTATATCGCAATGAAAAGATTTTAATTTCTAATTTAGTCTAATAAGATACTCTTAAGAAACAATTTTTTTACATAATCGCTTCAAAGTTATAAAGTTAAAAAAAATCAATTATCCCAGTAAATAAAATGGAATTAATTAATGAAACTGGATTGAATATATGAAATACAAAAGAATTAAGAAAAATTTTTTAATTTGTTAGAGAACTGAAGATGACTGAATAAAAGATCGAATATTGTCACTGTCTTAATGAATTGATAAATTATAATTTCGCTATAATAATTGCCCAAACTCGTTCTTTTAATGTTGTCGATAATTAATCATTTTAAATTATTGATGTCATCATATGATTTAAGATATAATAATGACGTCATCTTTTTGATCAATTAATGACGTCATTTATTTATGACGTCTTTACAATGTCATACTTAATGACGTCTAATAAATGGCCAATTGTCAACATACTAGTAACAATTATTTGTGATCAATTAACATCATACATTTATTTTGTTATATAACACGATATATACAAATAATAACACGAAAATAATGATAAATTTTTTATGTCAGTTTATGACATTATGAGTGACAAGAAATGTAGGAATTCACATCATTTTTATGATGTTTAAACAACAAGAAGCTTATTTTGATTTTTAAAATGAGGTGGAAATTATGAAAGTTAAATTTACTAGAATATTTATAACTTCAACACCTAGTAAATTTATTCATTTTTTGTAATTTTCACTTCGTCTTACATGTACAGATTTGTCATAAGAACAAATAATTAATGACGCCAAATGGATGACATTTTGCTACTATCAATAACACGAAAAAAATTACA